CATTTGAATTTTACTTAAATGTTTAGTAATTTAGTAATTTTTGATTTTATATAGATATATATATATAGTGTGTGTGTGTGTGTGTGTGTGTGTGTGTGTGTGTGTGTGTGTGTGTGTGTGTGTGTGTGTTTAGTAAAAGAAATACAACACCAGGTTTGATGTGCTTGTTTGTAGGGATGCACAATTTGCTTATATTTTTTATTATAATAATTTGAGCTTATAAACTAATATGACTAATAATAATTATTGTGATTATTATTATTATTATTGCTAAATAAAAATATTAAACAAAATACTTTCATTATAAAAAATAAAAAATAGAGTATTTAAGAATATAACAATATAATAATAATAATAATAATAATAATATTTTTATTTTAGAAAACTTATTTTTATGAAAAACTGCAGGGTTACCTGTTAACATGCAGGCAGCCTATGACTATAAATCATTAGAAAGGTCTGGAGGTATGCAAAATTCACGTCCCATGTTTTTAATATGAAATATGAGCCTCTTATGCATCCACTGTTGGAAAAAAAACTCCTGTACACTTCTGTACACTGGAGAAAAACATTTTTATACATTATCATATAATTTATAATATACATTTCTTTGGAGAGAATTATTGTTTTACCCATAATAGGGTGGAGTGAGCATATTAGACATAATAGAGAGTAGACGCCCTATCGACCGCTACTGCCTACTGGCGCGGGCGAGCCGTGGGGCCGCCATCTTAGACCGGTCACCCGCTCCGCTAAGTGGAATCTGTTTGGCAGGTGCAATGAGCTGTCAGCGCATTTAATTAATCATATCTCACTGAACACCGAACTGTTTTTCACGCTGTTTTTTTTTTGCTGCAAAGACTCATACATGTACTAGCTATGATACAGGACACATGGTACAAATTCACAAAATACAACCAATAGTGCGGTAATGTTAAATCTTACTTGTAAAAAGTAAATGGTCCGCCGATTTGAGCAGGAATACGCTGCACAGTGCTCTGGCATCTTAACTGCTGCTATGCAACGCAATTAGGAGTATGACCGGTTAAAGATGGCGGCCGCATTTCTTTATGCATTGAGCTCATTTTTTGTAAATTTGGAGTGCTGTCAGTACAGATAACAACGACAGAAACCGGTGTTGCCTACATTTACATTTACATTTATTCATTTAGCTGTGACGCTTTTATCCAAAGCGACTTACAATTGCTATATATGTCAGAGGTCGCACGCCTCTGGAGCAACTAGGGGTTAAGTGTCTTGCTCAGGGACACATTGGTGTCTCACAGTGGATTCAAACCCGGGTCTCTCACACCAAAGGCATGTGTCTTATCCACTGCGCCATCACCACCGCCTACACCGTGTTATCCTCTTTTTAAAATTTGCACCCTGTTGACTTAAACGGGAAAAGTTTTAAACCAGCTTTTAGCCTCTTAACAACCTTAATGTGTCATTACAAGTGCACAGCCATGTGAGTGAACACGGTGAATCTGACTGCAGTAAATGTGAAAGATATGAATAAAAATGATGTTTATTTAGCCAGCTCACATACCTGTATTTTCTTCCTGTTTTCGGTCGAAGTCCACAGTAGGCGATTGTCGAGTGCGCGCGCGCGATCATTGGTAACTAGCAGCTAAGCAGCAGTGGAGACTCAGACTGTCAGCTGTCAGCCGATGACGGTGCTGTGTGGTGTTCTGAGAATATCAGCTCAAATGGATAGTTCATCCGAATCAGATGTTGAACACACGGAGGAGGTTTGATCGCGCTCGCGCGAACTCGACAATCAACTACTGTGGACTTCGGCTGAAAACAGGAAGAAAATACGGGTATGTGAACCGGCTGAATAAAGAGATTATTCCTGCCTTCGTGAAAGCTCGGATCACAGTTGAGACTGATATATCAGCCCAGGCATCCACGATCCATTGGCAGATAGTGGTGTTAGTCGCCCGGCGCTGTCTCCCCGTCTTGGTGAACGTGTTCATCATCCATATATAAGGCGCTCCGGATTATAAGGCGCACTGTCGTTTTTTGATAAAATTAAAGGCTTTTAAGTGCGCCTTATAGTGCGGAAAATACGGTATGCCTAACAGAAGGTTTTTTTGTTTTGTTTTTGCCTCACAGAAGTCAAATAATTTATGACATTTCAGGAAATCCCCAAAGTGGAGGCAAAGCCTTCTCGTGTATTTTCATAATAATAAAATGTATTTATAATGCAAACGCATTGCTAAAAAAAAAAACCTTAGCCTTCGCTATTTCATAATCGCACTGAGCCAACTCGTGATTTCGGTTTAATTTCGATTAATCATGCAGCCCTACTTATAATGCACATATTAATGCCTTATTCGGCATGACCATATTCTACATCCCTTAACCTGAACTATTAAACGTAACCCCCACAACAACTAATTTACTTACTATATCAATAAGCAATAATTAGGAATTTATTGAGGGAAAAGAAAACCCCTAGTTAATAGTGAATATGTGTTCATCATCTAATAAGCAGTAATTAGTTGTTTATTGAGGGAAATCCCCTAGTTAATAGTGAATACTGTATGTGTTCCCTCATCTAATGTGTTAATCTAAAGTTTCCATTCATCACCACTATAGAAATGTACCATGCATCTATGATGACTCCTACTTCTTTGATCCCTGGAAAGTTGTGGAAACGTGTTGACAGTGTCTTTTCATAATGACTAAAAGGCTGAAAGTTAAAAGCTGATTACCAGTGGTCATAATATACAGTCTAAACTGGCTTACAGATTAGCAGAGGAGGTAGTATAGTGGGAGGAGGAGGGGCACAGAGAGTCAATAGGGATTTCAAATTAATTTAATATTTTAGTTGCATCACATTAGCAATATGTCAGGCGATTCATATTTCACTTAATCATTACTGTTGGATGGTCTCTGGAGGAGAAGAGTGTGTTCAAGGCTTAGCCACAAGGAGTGACTGTGATAAAGGGTAATCATATAACTGATTATGAACTATTTATCAACTATTTATCAAACATCGATAATGTACCAGCTAACATTAGTTCCCAGAACATTCTAGGAACATTCGTTTTTGGTTACAAAAAGACCACAGAAAACATTCTTAGAATGTTATTATTTTGGTTTCCCAAAAATTACCAAATAGGAACCCCTATGTTGACAATAAGAGAAAGTTTACCCCAAAATGAAAATTCTGTCATCATTTACTCACCCTCAAGTTGTTTTAAACATGTATGAGTTTCTTTGTTCAGTTGCTGGTCCCCATTGACTTCCATAGTATAGAAAAAAATACTATGGAAGTCAATGGGGAACATAAACTGGTTGGTTACCAATATATTCTTCAAAATATTTTATTTTGTGTTCAACAGAAGAAAAAAACTCATACATGTTTAAAACAACTTGAGGGTGAGTAAATTATGACATAATTTTGTATTTTTGGGTGAACTGTTCCTTTAAGTGAATGTTCTGTGTTTACGGTGTAGATAAAATCATGCAGGGTTCCCACTTCTCACTCTTTTTCAGTTATCATTTTCCAAGACTTTTCCAGGACATTTTCAATTTCACTACGTTGGGAATAAAAGACAAGGATAGCCATATATATTCCTCTCTCCATTCAATGTTTTAAATACATACAGTTAGTGGCCATTACTATTATTAACCATTAACTATATCAGAATCAGAATCAGAATCAGAAAGAGCTTTATTGCCAAGTGTGCTTGCACACACAAGGAATTTGTTTTGGTACTGAGGCTTCCAGTGGACATATACAAATACAAATACAACAAGAAACATAATACTACAAATTCAATACTACAAATTCAATAATACTATAAAATCAGTTTATTAATATGAGCCCTTTAAATGGGCTAGTTTATTTAACTATAATATGAAAATAAAAATATTAAATAAAGCCAATGAATTATTAATGCTAATAATAGTTAATAAGTATAAGTAAGTATAATACAATATAATATTATCATGTAGCCTTTTTTAAAAAAAAGACTACTAGTGCAGAAAGATTGGTTATTGTAATAATAATAATAATTTTCAGTATCGACTTGGTACCAAATTACCGGTAGTTTTCTCATTTCCCATGTGTTTTCCGGGACTGGAAAATAAGTGGATTTGAATACTTAGCTTAATCCCAATTACAAGTCATTCATGTAACACAGTACTGCGCTAGAGTGTGTTATGTCGTTTTAATTTCACAAATATAACCCATAACACGGAGGTTTTCACGTTGCATCGTTGTTCGAGAACACAAGACAGCATAATTATTTTAGTGCACAGTGATGGTGGGAATTCCGGCTCAACTCGGCGAATCGATTCTTTCGAACAGTTCGTTTCAAAAACGATTTAACGGGCTATACGTCACCAACGTAGTCCAGTTTAAGCGAGCCAAGATTCGACATAAAATAACGTTTTGTTCGTGATTCGGACATCGCAAAATGTTGTCCTCAAATATCTGAGCATGGTTGCGCTGTTCAGAGGAACAACGGTTAGAAATACATTGTGTACAGTGGCGCGCCCTTCGTAAAGCTTGTTGATCATTAAACATCACGCTATTAATATAGACAATTTGCCATTCACTGTAGGTTTCGACATAACACTTCAGAAATCACCGCTGGTCGATTGCAAAAAATATATATACTGTTAAACGCTATAACAATAATAGCTATATTTTAGGATGCCCATATGTGTCATCATGAGGTGACCTGCGGTTTGTGTTTATATGATCATGTGCCTCCGCACTGGCATAGCACTGGAAACATGTGGAGGAAATACGCAGTCCAGGCTCATTTACGAGTCTTTGTCGTCTGCACTGCACTAAGTCTGAGCGTTTAGTCCAGCACACATAAGTGAGCGTTTTATCAACCATATGGCTCGCTGTGGTTTGGGATACTGTCTGGCCAGTGCTGCTTTACTGTATCCTATATACCCAGTTATCATTACTCTCACATGGTGTTGTTCATTCATCCCTGTCTCAACATGGAAATGTCATGAAAGCTACTCACGTTAAAACGCTACTGAGGATTTAGACGACTTCTCCATTTCAGACAGATCGGTCAGTGCATTTCACGTTCGCGAGCATTGTTTCTCCCTCCGTAAATCCACGAATAAACGCTTAGGTTGAAGATGTTATAAAATGTTCAGCTCTCGGATTAAGCAGCTTTCACCCAATGAGAATCCGCCCCCCATGGCGTTATGCTGCTGGACCAATAGGTGTCATCCGCCCAAACGACTGCTCGTCTGACAACTGTCTTTACCGCGCTTAAGCAGCAGCATCCTCGGTTAACCAACCAGCAGGTTTGGTTTGACTCTGAGGCACGCAGTTCCCATGTCATTCGTGTTTTTAAATGTTGAATTAAAAAGGTTTTAACACTAAAAAAATAAAAAGGTAGAGGAGACAAATATGACATTAGCTATGCATATAGGCATTAGAATTTATAAATCGTTATGCCAATTTGCTATTTAGTGTATGATGATTTATTATATTTTTTATTTATTTATTATACTTATATTTTATATTTAAGGTGTGATTTAAATTTTACATTCAAGTCAATGTTTTTTGTGTCTTTATTGTGTTGCATTATTATTGGCTGCAGTTTATGGATATTTGAACTGTATTCAAACCATCTGCTGTAGCTACATATTTGAAAGGCTCCTTAAAATATATTGTTCAAAATGTTTTTGCATCCTCATTTGAAAAGTATGCTAATCTACACCATTTAATGATTGTATTCATTTATTACTTTGCAGTATAGCAAATTAATTGCCTGTTACCATTGTCATATGATGCAAGAGTATAATTATTTTCCACTTGTTTCACATCGGTGTTCTCTCATTACTGTTAATTTGAGTGTTGAACTCAAAATGTTGTTGCTTATTTTCTTAGGGTTATGGCCTGTTTATGTCTAACCGTGACATCTCTTTAGTGGTTTCACTGCTTCTGTCTCTTGCTTTCTTCAGGAAGTGAGCTATTGCAGTGTTTATATAACGGTGTGACTTGATGCAAGCAGGTGCAGGTTTGACTGGTTGGAGAATGTTGAGTTTTTCCATCAATATCTAGTTTGCATTGCAGAGGGGGAAAAAGAATGTAAGGGATTTTCGTTTTATTAGCAATTGCTATTGCATTGTACCACTGACACTGACAGGCAGGGGTGCAAAATACAAATACAGGATTTGCAAATTGTTATCTGAAAGGCATATGGACCCATGACCATTAACATTAATATAATCAAACAAACCAAAACTAAAACCAAAGAGCATAGTGCACCCCCGCTGATAGGACAACTAAAATAATGGGTTTATATGTGGCTGAAAAATCCAAAATATATGCACAATATACTGTATATGTTGACAAAAAGAGCTGAAATGTTTGATTTTGATAGTTTCGTCCAGCATGAATCGCATCCTTCGAAGGTTGCATTCAAAGCCGATTGCGTCACACCAGCGGGACGAAGGCTGTCCCATTTCGAAGGCTCCTTCAAAGGCGGCCGCGAAATGCGTCCTTTGTTTCCCGAGCATTGAAGGATACAACCGATGGATCCTTCACAGCCTTGCAAACCCCATGAATTCATTGCGTGCCAGTAACAACAGGAATTTTTTTGGAGAGAAATTGCCAGATTACACTTTTAAACGCAAGTACTGGGTTTCAACTTACTCGAATATCTAACGATACAAATTTAAAAATAAATATAGCTGCAAGCATCAATTATCAGGGTTCAGGTGCTTTAAGGCCTTTAAGCACGTGCATAAAAAAGGTTTTATGTTTTATTTAGCAAGCTTGTAAGCACCTAGATCAGAGATGGAAAAGACCATGCCAATACAGGCAATTTGCTATGGAACATCTGTTTTTTAAAGCTTTTTGACAGTTAGCCTATATTGTCAGATCTCCATAAAGTTTGCATGCTTGTGTAGAATCATGTTGCATATCATATAAAAATCACGGCTAGGAAAAAGTTTTGTAATCTCAGCTATAAGAGCGTTGAATTCCATCCATCCAAGACTCGCGGGGGCAGCAGCCCAAACTTTTCTTTCCCGAGCCACATTAACCAGCTCTGACTGGGGAATCCCGAGGCGTTCCCAGGCCAGTGTGGAGATATAATCTCTCCACCTATTCCTGGGTCTTCCCCGAGGTCTCCTCCCAGCTGGACGTGCCTGAAACACCTCCCTAGGGAGGCGTCCAGGAGGCATCCTTACCAGATGCCCAAACCACCTCAACTGGCTCCTTTCGACGCAAAGGAGCAGCGGCTCTGCTCTGATTGCTGAGCCACTAGGCTGCTAGAGCCGCGCATAAACTGAACGTGCATAGACAAGCCACTAGGCTGCGCAAAGCAGGCCCCCTAAGGACCGTTTAGCCGGCGATGGCGCGAGGCGAATTATTCAAGCTGAGACAATCACCAGATAGATAAAGCATACACCACCACCAGTAATTGCATAGGAATTTACCTGAATCGTTACTGCAATGCTTGCTGAGCTTCGAGAATGATCTTTAGATCGGATCTTATAAAACTCTAATGCAGAGGAAGACAATCTGCCCAGGATCTTAATATCTGAAGTGGAAAGCCACGATCAGCTGCTGTAGTGGCTTCCCAGATCCTGAAGGGATGACCAGTATATTGGGAGGGAGTTAGACTGCAGCTATTGAGGCAGAACTGACGAATCCTGAACCAGGTTAAAGAGTAGTGCTCCGTTAGTTATGATAAATAGAAATTTGATCATAGATGAGAAGGGACAGATTTTAATCCCAATTTATAAATTGATAATGTGATGCAAAGCCTTTATAGTCATTCTTAGAAGGAATTAGATAAGGAACGTAATTAGAAAAGACCATGGGGAAATCGGAGTATTTAGCTCCTGGAGTGAATCCCCTGGATGCATGAGCCATGACGCTGTAACAGACAGCTACAATCTGAATACCAATAGAAAAGAGACCATTGCAGACAGGAAGTAATAAAAAGGGGGTTGGATGAATTTTGCTTTTCTAACTTACTTAGTGTGAAATGTTGCCGTATAAGCATAACCAACATCTTCAAGGTTACAACACTCAAAGTTCAAGCAATGGGAGAAATTCATTTAAGAATTGCTTTTTAAAGACTACAACAGCGCTGAGAGGAGCTAACGAAATTCCTCCTGGGTTAGTGCATCACAACCTAAATTACATGAATCCTGCCCACGGGACATGATTTAAAGAAAATCGAGACAGAATAAGCTAATTAGTGACTAGAGACAGCTACGATGAGCTACGTAATTCATCAACGACCATCCGGAATGTTGTCTATATGTTGACACTTGAGTCTCTCCATCTTGAATGATCCCGGTTGAACAAAGCGAAAAGTTTAAAATTGTTGGTGAGAGGTAATCGGAGCTGCAAAACGAGCTGTTGAAACTCCGACCCCTGTGCTGGGAGTAGCAGCCCTGCCACATCCAGAGGGATAGACAAAACGATATGCTTAATCACTTCGAAATGACCATTCCAACATGCTATTCAAAATTATCTGTGGGCATTCCGAGCCAAACCCCATATACACACCGGAGACCCACCACATATTTTGCTGTTTTACTTTTCTTATTTGTGTGTTCTGTAAAGCACTTTGGTCTGTCTAAGCGGCTGTATAAATGTGCTATATAAATAAATGAACTTGAACACATATCCTGCGAAAAGGGCACAATTATACACATTTTTATCTTTGTGATACAAAGTGATTGGCAGGCGTTTATCGGAGGTTTACTACAGGTCTTGGCTATGCCTTAAGTAGCAAACAAAGAGAAGATATGGTGAACAGAGTTGGATAATTAGTATTAAAATACTTGCGTGAATTTGAATGCCTGCGAGCAAACTATGAATGGAAGAAATATTAAATTACGATTTCGTAATTGTAGACGAGGAAGGAACAATCGGCCGTGATGATGAGGATGTGAAAACAGGAATCTGAAAAGAAAAGCAAAACATTACTAATTTAACATAAACTCTGTTAGAAGAGGGCAGGGTGATGGATCCGGGTTGCTGAACGGCAAAAGCCGTCTGAAAGCCTGTAACAAGAATGAAAGCGCGTAGCTATGGCTTTGCATTGGCAGGAATAAGCACGACCTTAATTATGAGATTAAAGACGATTGATAGCCAAATTAACGTCTCAGGAATGGCATGATCGCCTAACAATAAGATCTGCCTTGATGACAACCATGCTTTGTTAGCACAACGATAATATATTTTGCGACCACGTCATATCTCTAAGGATGCTAACGACCGCTATAGAATGATTTTGTGAAGAGCGGACGAAACGAACCTTGAGTAAGCTTAGAAGATTCATCTAGCCTTTACTGATCTAGATATCTGAATCTGAGATTGGACGTGCACCCTTTGTCTAGTAGTGTGTGTTTTTTAATTTTATTTATTAAATTCTTAAACCGGCTAAATCTGACTTCTTAATACGGTACTTACCTGAAGTAAGGTGACGGCGTCCTGTCAAGAAGCTACTATCATTACCTAAATGATACTTGATCTGTTGTCTTGAGCGTAGAATCCTTTTCTCAGATGTGCAGCATATGCCTGACATGGCTCCCAAGTAGCTCTTTGCAGAAATAGCCCCATTCTTCGCTGGCCACAACAATAGTTGAGACTCTTGAATAGAAAGATACATGAACATGTAAATCATACAGTTGAGTTGAGCAAAGACAATGCCACTCGAGGCTCCTTCACTGATTAGTTCTGTTTGATTGGTTTGACTTGATAAAACTAATATGACTGTTAGTTCTACTGAGTTAACAGTTTTTGCTAAGGATATGTGGCCTTTGACAGGAGCATCCTTAGTTTGCATTTTTCTGTACATTAATGTGGAAATACCCATCACATAAAATATTTCTATCACACATATCAGTGGATTAAGTAGTCACCAGGAAGGTTGAATATTACAGCAATTGTACACATTTCCAATATTGTAGATCTAATTTCCATTAGGGGACTAATAATATGATTTTAAAGTAGCCTATGTTGAAAATAGTTGTTTGTGAAATTACCACACTTATGTAAATATGTAATTAACTGCCATTGTAGAGATATCCACTACAGAATGCATAACAGCCAATGAACAACTTGCTCTCTTTAGCTCAGGTTTATTTATTTATTTATTTATTTATTTTTAAACCAGTTACTCAGTTGTTAGTGGGTATTTGCAAACGGTATCGACAACGCTGATATTATTAGATCACTGTAGC